TGTCAAAAGCATACACAGAATGAAAATAAAGTTAGCTCTTGAAAACTTTATTCATAACTGACAGATTCTCTACAGAATCTAACATGTCTAACATTTTATTCTTGGAAGATTTAAAGGGTGTTCCCCCACACCTCCACAAAGCTGAACACATGGAAACTCTCCCCACAGAAAATGTGGAGGAGTCTTCTAATAAGAAGAAATATATCACTGCTATTTTTTAGATCTGGTAACTCATTCATTTGTGTGTTCACTGAAGAAGTCATTGGAGAAATCCTAGACATGCTGCCTGTCAGCTTGTGCATCTCCACCTTTTGTGTTTCTGATGTAGATCACTTCACTCACACAAAATTTCATAGAATCACAGTGCAGCCCAGGTTGGAAGGCACCTCAAAAGATTTGTCTGGTCCAATGTTCTGTGGGAAAGGGAGCTGTGTTGAGGTTATCTACCATCCTTGTCCAACTGCATCCTAGAAGCCTCCAGTGACTGGGACCTCACTGTGTTCCTGGGCAGGTTGTTCCAGTGAATGACTGATCTCAGTGTAAAAAATTTCTTTCTTACACTGAGATGAAAACTTTGACCAAACTTTTGCCAAGGGTTCCTAAGAATGGCCACAGTGAAAATGCTTTGATACTTCCATGTAAGACAACTACAAATGAGTTCTTGGCACTTGTAGTTGGACACTTTACAGTTCATCCTAAGTGGCCTTTCCATGAAAGAAGAGTTTGTTCACCTTTCTTCTCTCTTTCTGAGTTTGACCCCATGGTCTGTTCATTGGGTTCTTGGTCCTTTTGAGGGATTTCCTCGTACCTTCCCTCTTGAGAAGTTTGCTGCTGTTCTTCAAAGACATCAGCAGAGGAAGACACTGATACCCTGCTGCTTCTCTGATGGTTCTGGAGTCAGCACTCAGATCAATCCCAGCTAATGCTCTGTCTGAGAAGGTGGTCCCACACACACAGACACACAGATTCCCTCCACTGAGTCAGTACAAGTTCTGGCTGGCAGCACCCAGTGGAAAAGCTTTTTGTGTGCATGTGTGTCAGGATGCTTGTTTTGCAATAAAACAGATCAGCTCCCTGGTTCAGTTGCCTGCAGGGCATTAAGAGTGCTAGTGCAAGGGAAGCAGTCAAAACACAAAACCTGGCAAGGATGGAGTGGAAAAGGAAGAACTCCTGTTTTCAGGCAGCAGGAGAAGCTTAGATCAGTTAAGCTGCTTACCCAGCCCCACACTGTGTGCCATGCCTTCATTTTGCTGCTGTCCACAGCTCTGACCAACAGTAACACACAGAAAGTAGCACAGTGAGTCCGTTCTGTTTCTGATCCTCAGAGCTGCTCAGCAGCATTGCAATGAAATGTCATGGACCGTGTGAACTTCAGCTGCCATGGAAGGAATCTATAGGAAGAGCAGCAAGAGGTTTAGCTGATAATCCTGCTGCTGAAACCTCATTTAGTCCATCCCCGTAGCCGTGAGAATGAACAAGGGACTGAAAGTTAAAACAGAAAGTTGCTTCTCCTCCCAGGTTTATCGAGCAAATAGTTTGAAGAGTAAAAGTCTGCAAATAAAAGCTGAAGAATACATACAAGGTCAGTCAACAGCTCACTGATAAACCTGGGGGTCCAGCCAGGTGCTAAAGTTCACCTGTCTGATGAATCAACCATTCATGAATTTTCCTGGTAGAATTCCATAAACTGCCTGGCACCAGTGAGCAAACAAATTCACACTTTGAGTCATTCTTTAATGCCAAGTAGGAAACATTTAGAAATACAGCTAATTATTATAAGTATTGCAGTTTAGGCAGTTAAGTTAAACAGTTAATTTAGCGATAGGGATTTTAATAAGGAATGGCTGTAAAGTGAGTCTTGAAACTGGTCCATGGCATCCATTGTTACAATACAGGAACACAAAGAGCTCAGCAAAACAGGAACATCCAGAATTACAACAAAAGGATAGAACATCTTGGTGTAAACAAACAAATAAAAAAATCTCACTTACCCTACAGTTCTGGAAAATATAGATGTTCTGCAGTTTCAGGCAATAAAATGAGTACTTCACCAGGATTAAGAAGCTTAATCTACAATAAACTACTCCAATCCTACACTTCACATGGTCTCTCTGGATTTTAGCATCACTTAATTGGACTATTCTTGGGAGTAATCATATTGGTACAGACCGACCACTAAAATGAAAAACTGGAAATATGTTGAGTGTGTGACCTTAGAACATGAGATGACAATTTTCAAAAGTCATTTCAAAAGTGACATGAGAAGGCTTTAATTGAAACACTCCACTGAGCAGGTACACAACACAGTGCGATGTATTAAAGGCAAAGAATCTCAAAGATCTTTCAAGATGCAATGCAGAGTAATCTGCCTCTCCCCCATGTCAAGACACCCGGGCTCAAAAAAATATTTACACAAAGCAGCATTGTTGGTTTGAAAATGGGCAGCACTTGTGCTACTATACTGTCCAGGAACCTCAGCCCTGGATGCAAGCTCAAATATGTTGGGCTGTGCAAATATATTTCTTGCCTGATTTTACATATTTATTTCTGAACAGATGCCTAATTTTTATCCAAAATTAAAAATATTTTACATAATGATTATCTAACAGTAAATATAAGTGAAAGCCTGAAATACATATAAAACATCTCTAAACAAATATGTTTCCTAAGCAAGCCAAAATCCATGGTGTGATTTTAGGTGGTTAGGATGTAATTTCTTTAATTTCTGGTATGAAGACAGGCTTCATATTGAAATGTAGCTATTTTAATAATGGTATTCAGCAACCTTGATTAAAACACAGATTACTTGATAATCAGTACCATCAAAAGTGCTGGCAAGGAAAGAATGGGTTAAGTGTATTTCACACCTCACAAATGCATATCAAATTTTGTTTAACAAGAATCAGTAAACCAAACAAAGGTAAACAAGGAAAGGGCTGGGTATTGTCAGATTAGATTTTAAAAGGTCAAATAGTTACCAACATCTGAACTCAAAAATAGCTGGCAGGAGAACAGAGGCCAGACATGAGGTCATTCAGTCCACTCCCTTGCCAGCTCTGTAGGGTTCTCTACTGCATAACGCAAGTGCTTTTGTTTATAATGTGGAAGAGGAAAGGAAGCAAGGGTGGGGGAAGAAATCAGATTGTCTTTGGAGGCTGAAGAAAATCAACCATTAAAGAAACACCAGCCAGAGAAAGGCAGCATCCTGGAAACACAGCTGATGGGAATTCATGAAGGAGAAGGATGAAAACCAGCAGCAAAGTTCAGGATTGAGCTGAGAAATTGAAAGCAAAAGCTGTTAACAGGATACGCAAAAAAAATTTAAAAGTCTTGCCTATAGGAAATCTGGTGTCATTTGTTGACTAAATGGGAAGAAACAAAGCACAGAAGATTTACTGGAATAATGGAAGTGGAAGGGCAAAATGGCTTAGGTTTTTCCCAGTACTCACACTTGGGGTAAGGAGTACCAACACCTCTCTTTGTCCCCTGTGCATCCAGGTGCTTCTAAGAGCCAGGTAAGACTCAAAGTAAGCCAGATAAGGTTTTTTTCAACCTGATTAATTCTGTGATCTGCCTCATCAGATGAATATGGAAATGGTTACACTATCACAATTGAGGGAGGTCACAGAGGTAGGCAGAACAAAATGATGGACAAGACAATCACGGGAAAATGTTCACAATACTGTATTCTAAAATAAGTTACCAGTGTCCTCAAGTATATTTTATCCTGCTTTTGACATAGAATTTATTCATGACTCTAGATAAATTACTTAAAAATGCTGTTTCGAGGTGGGCACCAACTACATACATCTTTTTTAGGGATGCCTCTCCCAAAATCTGGGTTCTTATGCTGCAAAAGCAGCATAAGCTTAGACCAGATATTAAATTTATTTGCACCCGTACACTTAATATAAGCCAGGACACTGAACTCAATACCCTGAAAAAGATCAGATCCTACTTGGACCAAATTTGGTCTCCATAATTTTATCTTTCATTCTTCATGTGAAATGGGAGGATGATTTCATTGTCTTAGAAGAGTTTTGTCATTTAAGGGGGGAAATTGTCAAGTACTGAGATACTAAGGTGATAAGCACAGCAGAAGACACAGGGAAATTTGCGATTCCATAGTCAAAGCAGAATTTGATGCAGATTTGAGTCACATTCAGAAAATGTCTCGATGTCACACAACCAAATTAATGAAGATGAGACCAAAATACTTCATCTTTTTAATACCTTGAGTATAACAGGATTTTTAACACAATAAACTATATGTCATTACTTAATAGAAAACTGTAATTCAATCTGGATGTATGAAGAGACTGAATTAAAGCTAACTTAAGAACTTCAGGTCTCCATTTTTGAGTCATTCCAGAGATGACACTATTAGTATAGTTACTGTGACTGTGTGTAACTACCAACTTCTAATGAAAGAAAATTGATGTCTCCAAGTTATAATCTCAACACTTGCACTATAACCAGCAATGCTTTGCTGTTTTGAGCTAATATATTAGTTGGACAAATTTCTGGATGAACTTGTGTGAGAAATGGATGTTCCACCAAGGGATTTCTTGTTATTTGGTAATTCCAAGAAAACAGACACTCAGGAATCCCAGGCTCTAGCCTTATCTGTTTTGGGAAATAAAGTTTTCTAGCCTAAGAGAAGTTGAAATGAGATGGCTTGAACACATGACTAAAAGTCTCACTCGTTTCCATGCAGTACTCTCACACATAAATTCCCTGTCCCCTCTTCTCTGGCTTCTAATTTCATTCCCCTGGTGCAGCAAGAACTACTCTTGCAACCTCACTCACCTTTACTGGCTAAGGCTCCTCAGACTGCTTGTCACCTCTTGCACTTGTAAACCTCCCCCACAACTGCTTTATCAATGGCACTCCCTCTGTTCAACACACGAGCCAGAACGCTCAACATCACAGTTGCACAACCCCTTTACACAGGTCTGTCTCTGCCTATGTTTATGCATTAAAAAAAAATATATACATACCTACTCATTTATGTACAACAAAAATAAACTCTTTCCCTCCCCATCACACGTTTCCTTGAGCCAGTATAAACTCCCCTATGGCAGTGCAGAGAAACAGACGTGATCACTAACTAGGTTAATCAGAAAGTGTTTATAAGGTCACTGTGAATCTGTGGGTAATGCTCTGTGCCACTTCACCCCATTGCTGCATAAACAATGGTGCCAAGCATGGGGAGAGGATGGTACAGAGAGTGGCAACCAGCAGCCCAGGCTGCAGAAAAAGCACGACTTCAGTGACAACAGCCAATAGGAATGAAAAATTTAAGGTCTTGATTTTAATCTAGAACACCGACATCTGCATAACTGTCCCTCTTCTCTTCCCGGACTTGTCTACGAAAACTTAAATTAGTGTTCTTCACCGGCCCCATTCCTCTCCGTTTTGTTCCCAACAAGCCTTGGCCACCGCCTGCTCTCTCACCCCCAACCAATGCAACATTGAATCCCAGTTTCAACTATGATGACACCGAGGCTCCCTCTGCCTCTGCTGTTTCCTGTGGATGTGGATACATTGTCCCCTTGCGAGCTCCAGGCCCGGGAGAGGGTCCCTGAGACCCCGGGTCGGGGGTCAGGCTCGTTCCCCAAACACCCGTTCCCATCCCCAGCATCTCCCGGATCCAGCCCTGCCCCGGGCACGGCAGCCCAAACACGGGCGGGGTCTGTGGGTGATCCTGCCCAAAGTGCACAGAGTTTTAACAGGAATACGAAAACTTCAGATGGCCGCGGCTTGGTTTTGGTGGTGGCGTTTTTTGAAACTTCAGAGAAAAGCGTATCAGCTGCCTGTCTCGGAGACAGCCTCTATCTCTTTCAAAAGACAAACTCCGCAGGATTCTTCCTTTGTTCGCTACAGTCCACACATTTCCTCCCCGGGTTAACTGAAAACGGCACAAACCCCCTGAGAGAAGTTTCCCGGGCGGTTCCCGGAGCTCAGCGAGAGGCGCCGGCACAGGTTCCACCTTCGCTCCCCCCCGAGGGTCTCCCCGCGCAGCCCCCACAGGGGACCCCCGCCCTAGGCGCACCCGCCGGGCACCGCCCCGCCTGCTCCCCCCGCCGGGCAGCCCCTTCCCCTCCGCGGACACCCTGCGGACACCCCGCACTCACCGCCGCCGCCGCCCGGGCGAGGCTCCGGAGCCGGGCCGGAGGTGCCGGGCCGGGCTGTCCCAGCGCTGCCGCCACAGCTCCCGCTGCGCGCTCGGCGGAGCGGGCGGTGTCCGCGCATGCGCCCGGAGCCCGAGGGCGGCCGTGAGGCGGGGAGAGATCGAGGGCGACCCAGGGCTGCTCCTGGCCGTTCTCCTGCTCTCCGCTCTCCGCCGCCCCTCTGCTGTCCCGTGCCTTCAGCCGAGGCCCTTTTCAGAGCTTGCCCGGACAGGATGATTCCCTTCAGCCGCCCCCATAGGGACCTTCCCACAGGCGCGGCCCCAGCCCCGGGCTCAGGGGACCCCGGTGGTCGCCGCGCAGCCGCCCGGCTGAACCGCCCCGCGCAAGACGTTTTCAGTCCTAAAGTTTGTATTAGTTTGTTTGTATAACAGAATCACAGGATCGCTTAGGTTGGAAAAGATCTCTGAGATCATCGAGTCCGGCGTATGACCGAACACCACCTCGCCAACCAGACCCTGGCACTGAGTGACTCGTCCAGTCCTTCCTTAAACACCTCCAGAGTCGGTGGCTCCACCACCTCCCTGAGCAGCCCGTTCCCATGTTTAATCACTCTTCCTGTGGCGAAATTCCTCCTAATGTACACCATGTATATAGATACACGCAGTCTATTCTTCTTGTAGGGAAGTGACACACACCCCGGCACGTGGTCTTCCATGGAGAGCTAAAAATTACATCAAAAGTGATTTTCCCCTTCAGTGTGTCCCCAAGGGTGGCTGCACGGACGCGTGGGCTTGTTTTCCAGAGTTGTGGGCTTTTGGGTGTGCTTGGATCTCACCGCCCTGGAAGGTGCAATTCAGGAACCCTAAACCCCCTCATGTTCCACATTAAAAATTAAAGGTTCCACATTAAAAATTTAATTGGCTTTTTGCACTGCCCAGAATTCATCTGAAACCAAACTCTCTCAAACCAGAGTTTGATAGCTTACTTTTGTTTGTGACTAGCACCTTTATTTTTTCTCTGATTTTTAATAGAAAGAAGATAAAGCTCCTAGGAAAATTCACAGCAAATGAATAATCCCTACCTGACTTCAAAGGTGCTGTTGTCAATGGTGCATTGGCCTGGTTATAAATGACTTTGGAACGATTCACAAAAATAACAGCTTGGCTTGCCAGAAGAAAGATTGAGGTCTAAATGGTGTGGAGCATAAAATACCATTTATTCCATAAAGCTCTATGTAAATATGCAGTGGTTTTTGAAGTTTACATTGCTGCTGTCTTCATGTTCAATGCTCTGTGGCTTCAATTTTTAGTGTTGCTGCGTTGTATAGCTGTATTTTCACCTTTAATTTTGTATTAACAAGCAGCTGACAATCATCAGAAAAGGAATGAGGTAATAGTACAATCAGATAAATGTTGAGGGAACAGAAAAATGAGACACAGTTTGCAATAGTTCAGACGTGTCTCAGCTTCTTTAATGGATCTTGGCCTATAATAGGAGTTCATGCTTTCATATGTGTCAACTCAGAACTGACACTGAGGCCATCAGGTTTTAAACAAAAGAAATTGCATTAATGTGTCTGACAGTTCTTTGACAAAATTGTTTAGAAATTCGAATCCCTAGAAATAATGGGAGGCAAAATACCTCTGCTTTTGTAAAGTTTGTTGAGGGCCTGACAACAAATGTCGTCAGTGACCATGGAAAGAGACACACACCATCAGAGGTTAGGTCTCCAAGAGAAGTGGATTTACATCTGCCTTTCTTGGGGAGGCAGGAAGTTTTCCTGTAATAATTTATGAATGTTTGTTACAGGTTGTTTGAATATGCTGTATTCAACCGTATCTGTTTAACTTAATAGCAGGTGGTTGGGAAAGGCAACAGATGAAAAAATTATTTGTAAGGGTCAGGAGACAATATTTAACTTAGTAATTATGCAGTCTTTTCTTCCTTGATTCCAGATCCATTGCATAGTTTGTTTGTGAAGGCTGAGAGCCAAAGCTCAAAAGGGCTATGAAAAAGTTAGAAAACACTGTGAACAGAGGGCAAGAAATGTCATGGCCATATTTGAAGAGAGAAAACTGTCATTGAGCCTTGCTGAAAGGAATGGAGGCAGAAAAGCAGACCAATACTTGAGTAGAACTCACTGGGGAATCTTACAGTTGTGTGGACTTTTTCCTTAGAGATTAAACTATTTTTAAGGATATAGTTTAATAAAATTTTAACTGGGAGAGGTACTTGGTCCATGGTGGAATTTTCTGACAGAAGGAGACCCATTAGGATGGATAAGAATTTTACTGTGTAAGTACTTTCTTTGGATTTTTGAAAATTAATTCAAATCCTGTCTCTTCTACTTTGAATAAATGAGGTGGGGAAATATTTGGGTCCCAATTCTTGGAGATGTCTCACTTTATACAAATAATTAAGTATTCATGAGAACAGCAGTAGTAAACCCACCTGAATGTCCTAACTTCCTGTTGAGATGAATGATTCTCAGTTCTCAAAAAAAGTCTTAAACCTCAGGGTTTTTTTCTCAACTTCTGTCATGGTACAGAATAATTCCAATAAATTTGAATTTTCATTTCATATCTGCTTTCATCTCTAAGAGTAAACAGGGATTTGATTTTAAAAAGATTGTCATGGGCAAGTACACAGTTGCTTCTAACTCCAGGGTACCTCAGGAGGTTCACTCCTGAGTCACGAAGAAAGTGATACAAAAGTGACAATCGAGCCAGACCTTTCTGAGATGAAATAATTATCATTATCATGCAGCCCAGGAGCAGGATAAGGAGTGGGAGAAACAAGTATTTCATCTGAAGGGAGATGGAAATTCAAAAGCTATTGCAGTAAAAGAACTGAGAAGACTTAAAAAGTGGAAGGAAGAAGAGTTTTGTCTAGCACAATAACTGTGATACTGTACTGTTTTCTAGAAAGATATATTCTAGTATATACCCTAAATTTAGGCACAGCATATAAAGGAAGTGTACACCCCAAAGTCATCTTATTTTTTATGTGTAATATGATATAAGTAAAGACACTTTTACATACTGAACTTGCTTGAAAAAAACAAAGGAAAATATATAGAGTATGGTTTACTGCCAAGGGTTATTATGAGTTCTGTCTTTCAAACCCACATATCAGTTTTCCTACTTGTGCTGTGCATTGTGTTTGCACAGCTAACTTGTACCCTACACTGGAACATTTCTCCGGATGTCACACTTTTCACGTAAATGTAACTGGTTTATTATTTCTTTGTCATCAAACAAATCAAACAAATGTAAAGCCAGGAGGTTTCCAAAGTGCCATGTCACATGCAGATCCAATGTCCTCATTACTCAGTGTTTCCTGCTCTGTGACTTTTTCTCATCTCCTGACACATGAGAAACTTCAGCACTGAAGGGGGTTACTCTGATGACAAGAAAACAACACAAACTTTCCCTCCTCCTTTTATCCCTTCGTTTTGGTTTGCCGTGTAGTTTTGAAACTTCTGATGTTTCAGTGCAAGAGATGCAAAGAAGCAATTACCACTGTGGCGAACTGTGCCACATTTTCCAGAATATGCAGCCATTTCCCCCATCCAGTCCCTCTACCCTGAGATCTTGAGCTGGAGCAGTGTTCCTCTCAGTGACATAGGCAATAATAAGCTGCTCTTTAGAGCCCATTAAAGGTGCTTCTTAGGCAGGGGAGTTGGTCAGTACTGGCAACATCGATGAATGGTGTTCCCAAGGAGCCTCGTCATGACCCCAATGCTGCTGCTGCACTGAAGTGCTGCCAAACAAAATCTTCACACTAACAGGCTGCACTCAGCATCTCCCTGTGCACTGTGAGAACTAACACCACGTGAAAGAATTCTACACTCTTGGGCTGTTTTCCAGTGTGTTAAAATATCACTGTGTAATACATTAACTCAATTCAAATATTTTAGATCTTTTTATACCTTAGTTATTC